ATCTTTTTGCGGCAGCACGGGACAGTGCTCTTATATGTGAACTTTTCCACAAGGATGCATGTGTACTGATAATGCTTTCTGGAACATCTGCTATTTTTCTCGTGAATCTGAAGTAGGAAGTCACAGAACGCAATGACTCTTCAGTAATCCGGAACCGCTCAACAAAGGTATTTCTGTTGTTGAGTGAAAGTTAGCACTGGAAATGTCATTTCCAGTAAAACATTTCACGTATTCGTACTAGCTGAAGTTGACTTTGTGCAATCAGTACCTGATGTTCACTTGTGTTTCGAAGTTTTAATTCTGTGAGATGTAAACCCTAGATATAAACATTGATTCCAGTTTAAGTTTCACTTTTTGAAAAAAAAACGTATTTTTGAGCAATTCTGTCTACTCAGGTAACAGGTTGATTCTCATGATTGTATCCATTACAGAGCTGGTCGAAGCCAAGATGAATCAAGTCTTTCTACAGTTAGTTTGATGCACATAAAAAACTACTGATTTGGGAGCACAGTGAGCTTCTGAGTGTTAATCAAACTGAATTTGCAATTTATCTAGTCTTCTGGGACGAGAAAACTATAAAGAGATTCCCGAATTTCATTAAAAGTTGACCCTATTTGCAGGGTAAAGCTTTTCGTGAAACTTCCGATTTATGGGGTCTATGATATACCTTAGTCATACCAGAACATTTGATGTTCAGAATTTATCTCAAGAAAGTTTCGGGACCTTCGAACGGGAATTCAAAAGCCCTTGAACTGAAATCAGATGAGCGCTCGAAGTGCCACTCGGATGTTCCAAGAGGTGGTCCACCGAGGCCATCGGCCTAACACACGAAAAAATAAGCAGGTCGTAACATGGCATGGGTATTCATCAAACTCGACCGATTAAGTGTGAGATAAGCTAATAAAATAAAGGTTGGATTTTTCTTTGCTGATCGCTTCCAATCCGTCCACATTCGAATCAACTTGTGCAGTAAAACATAAGACATGTGGGAAAAAAAATAATGTGAAACACCAATGGCTATGATGGATACGACTTTGATTCAAATAGTTCGATAATTACTTCCATTGGAAGAACACCTACTGAGTGAACCGATTCATCAATTTTTTTAAGTTAGGATTAAAACCCACCAAGAATTAATTGCTCAGGCTGTACCCTGTGATAGTTTTCTATCTGTTTGATTCACCTATTTCAAATTGAACTGTGCCTGAAAAGTGACCTCCTGTAAATGAACGAACAGTAGTGCACTTACCAATGGCCATTCCGTCAGTAAAGTTGTGCAGTCCGTCGCCCAAAATTACCATCCAAGCGACAGATGCAACTGACCCAGGAACCTATGAGGTAAAAATATAGTGCGTTTAGCTCACCATTTCTAGGCAACTTTACTAGACGGTCAAGAAGTAGACGAAGTAGAAGTAGAGGAAGATGTTATCTATGTATAGGTGAGTAAATTTGTACTTTGCATGTGACAGCAGTGGCGCTGGATGTTTTATTCCTCAACTAAGGGTGGCAGCATTTTGGCTACATTCTTGCTGACTCACCATAGGTTGTCACAAAAAAAACGAAATTTATCAGTTGTGCATAACTACTAAAAGTGCCCCTCTCTAAGGAGACCAGCTGATTGAATGGAAGAAAACGGGTCTCGTCTGGCGGGTGAAGTCCCAGTAGTAGGGACCAGTGGAAATGGGAGGATGTTTCCTTGAAATAACTCACTTCTACTTCGGTTCATAGTATCGCATCCTCCCATTGAAGACTTACAGTGAACTGACAGAAATTAGTACGTTTTCATCTAGAGGCTTTTTACGCCTAGAATTGGATTCTTTGGTACTATCTCAGCACTTTTCGGTAATCGACTTAGTCTGGCTATTTTTATTTACCCGACAGTACGCTCATAGAGACCTTTTTCCTAGTAAAATGTTTTTGATAAATATACTCTTCTGGCTACACCTACAGTTCGTAAAAACAAGGCTCCCGCTTTCCATCACCCTTACACCTTTCCCGCTATCATACACGTCCGACTACTCAGGTAAGCTGAACTCAGAGCGCCGAACTTCAAAAATGTGCATCAGTGACTGGTATGTTAAAGGTTACCTGTGTAGTGCTATTTGGAGACACTGCATATTTTCTAGTACAAGGGACGAGTACATCCGGAATAATACAAGTCTCAGGTACTCCCTACTGTGACGCAATAACACTGATCGGTAGAGGATTAGGAAATCTTATTGCCCATGCGATTATGTCATCTGGAGTTTGCAACACTGGAGCTATGTTCAGTGAAGAGAAGGAGACGTACTGTTCTACTAGCCCGTATAAGCGACATCACTTGTTGCTGGGTTACAAATGTCTTTTGGCATGCACAGCCTATTCTCGAATGGCGTCGACCAATTCAAGCCATTCGCATGAATCTAAATATGCGAACGTCGTTTATACTGATCACTCCAAACTATGAAGATATACTCACCAGTTCTGGTAAGTTAGGAAGCAGTAGAACACATACTTTTTATAGCTTAAGGAGATACTAAACGTGTCAGTGCACACTGGAAAAGGTAACCAGTTAAATCACATGAAATGACTCTGCATTGGGGTCTCAGTGACTAATCGTCAACTCTTGCAAAAAAGACATCCTCGAATATGAATTTTACCCACGAGCAAAAAGGTTGGACATCTGAATTCTCCCAAAATGCCTTTCACCAAATTTTGCGTAACATGTCACGTAGTAAGGCTTTTATGGTATGCCATCCATCTAATACAATATCTAAGGACCAATCGAAATTGACCTCCCAGAGGTTTGGGTAGCCACCCAAAATAACAGTGGTATGAGTATTTAGTACACTTGCCAGCTTTAAGATACATTTTATCCAACTGTAAATAGAAGCACTGAGTAAAACTGTCTTAGGCCTATAAAACATTTGTCGTGACAAAGACTACGGTACATGTATCTTGTCCTGAATGAGATAAAGCGCCGCCATGCTTCTTACAAAAATTACTAATTTGCAATATATTCTCCGAGTTAAAATTAACGCAGATCAGTCGATGCTTGGCCGAGCAGTCAGGGGTTTAGACTACAGCCCAAAAAATCGAGGGTTCGTGACTCTCTGGAGTTTTTCGAGAGGCGTAGTGGCGATGATCTACAGTAAGGATAAAACAGCTGTAAAGTACTTCTCGGCTTTTCAGCATAGATTAGCCTCACACTCACGGAATGAAATCTTCATTGAAAACTCCAAAATCCCTTCACACTCTCACCCAAGAGGAATAATTTCATGACTTTGGAAAGCTGTGGATATAGTATCTCTCAATGAAATGTTCGGGTCTCAGGTGACACTTTTGAACCGAATAATTATACACACAAGATAGACAGATGTCATCCCAAATATCTGGAACCAGCTCTGAAATTTATGCCAGCGTGGGCTTCAGCCTAAGATAGTTCAGTAGATAGGAAGGAAGTGAATGGTTGAATGGCTTATTGTTTCAGAAAAACCTCTGTATCTCGAGTGATCCTGTGTAGGCTTGGATAACCTGACCTGTTTCAGCCCTCGTACTTCTTACGGGTGACATGGTAGCTAGGCACCGTAGGGAGGTTACAGTTGAACGGTCACTTTATGGTTATTCTAGGTATACTTATGATTCTAAACCGTTCAGCAGAGCTTAGTGATTTATTCTGTGTTGCAGTTCTCGATATGCTAGAGTCCGACTACTAATTGATATACTTTAAGTGATATACTCGTGTACGTTTCGCTGTCCACTGGGAGTAAAGCCTCAGAACGTAACCGTCCTAATGAGGACGTTAAAACCTTTGGATAAATTTGATAACGGGTGAATTAGCTGTGGCGCCGAATTCATACAGCCTGACGGGTGGTATCAGAGCAAACAGACCACAAATACTCTTTTCCCCACATCACCATTATTGACGCCCATTGTTTCCATTGTCTCTAAAGAGAACATAAGGTTGAATCGTGTGTCCAACTTCCAAGGGTTTCAAACACAACTTGAGGCGTAATATGAGGGGAAGCATCCGCGCCAAAATTTCTGGATGGTTGTTTGTTTGAAGGTTTATTTGTTTTGAAGGTTGGGGACATGCGTTACTGCAAGGGTATGGATGACGCAGAAGGGTTTTCGGCATAAAATCTAGCTACTTGAAGTCTTTTAGTAGCTCAATTTAACGCGTCGTCCTGAGCCAGCAAAAAACAGGTTCTGGTGGGCTCGGGGGTCAATTAAGGTCATTTCTCAGTCCATAGTTGTGCAATAACTCCTACCAATAAACTGTACGTACCCTGTGGGCGTGTCCGTGTCCGTGTTTTCTCTTATCGTCTTCGTCTTCGTGCTCGTCTTTTTCTTCCTACTCGGTGAAAAAGCGAAGAAGCATGGAAAATCGCAGACGTAATTCGTCGAAAAAAAGAAATTAGGTTCTTAAAAAGGGTGCTTCTTGCGTTAATTGCTTCTCCAAACTGATGGGTGCAAGCAAGCATGGAAAATCGCAGATGTAATTCGTCGAAAAAAAGAAATTAGGTACTTAAAAAGGGTCCTTCTTGCGCTAATTGCTTCTCCAAACTGATGGGTGCAAGGCTGCGAAATAAACTTTTTAACAAGTTACACTCTCGTCCCAAAACGCAAACTCTTGCGCTGCGGTTTACTTCACAAAGGTGAGAAACACGGGAGTCTGTACAACCAATTCAATATTTCTACGAAGAAGTCCAGTTCCAATAAGCTGATGAAAATCTGGTCTTTCACAGCTGAATACAAATACAGCCGGCGTTATGTGTTTTTCTCTGTGCCCATGTTCAGCTTTACCTTATTTTTCCCTTCATTCTTCAATCATAGTTTTGATGCCGAAATTTTCATAACAAAATCCATTCAAACGCCAGAGGGGCATACGCCTACTGAGAAATGTAGAATGCATTTTTTTGCAGACACCACTACCAGAGGAGTAGCAGCACACATAGACCAGAACGCGTAGGCGAAGAACCAATGAGGCTAACCATTGACGTGAGTTTATATTCACAAACTCGTGAGTGGAATTTGTGAACCTCCTTTCGTGGTAGCCATCTCCGTCGGATACTCTACCTTTAACCATTTTTTCTAAATCTGGAAACCCCAGACTACTAACTACTTGTCCAGATTTCGTGATCCTGATCCCGCAACTCATGTTAATTCTGTTTAGTCGCTGGTTCGCTGACTCTCTCACTACTGACCCGTTTGCACGACTGACGTTTTGATCACCCTATTCCACTACACGCTCTGCACCTTTTTTGTCATACGTTACAAGCTTGGCAAATGATGTGTCCGCAAGGTTTGCGTGATTATTTCTTGTGGGTCAGGCATTGGCCCCACAACTCTGGTATAATCTTGTACGAATGCCTCTTTTTTATTGATCATGAACACAAGGCCGCATTACTTTCCTACCTCTGCTACCATTACTGGCATTTTGAACAAACACTTTTATCTTGACCTTTTCTCAGTATCTTAAAAAAAGGCCTTAGTGAATACTTTAGTTGATAGAGCTACGGCTAAATCTCCCGTGGTTATCATTTATCGCTACTCTGAAAACCTGACTAAAAATACTGAGCGTTTGAGATTAACCGCTGTGAAATATACATTCGATTTTGAGATCCAGCTTAATTCGTAGCCAGTTTAATCTTTCCCATTTAAGGTAGCTTGCGCCAACGTCAAGTTGGTCATAATAACCTCCATCCTGTCCTGGTTATCTACACCCAATTACTTAAGCACTGGTTTCTAGTTGTCCTCTCGACGGTGCTAGTCGGTACGTATTGTCATCACTGTCAGGATTATAGATTCCCAACATCTCCTTTGTGAGGTAGATGTGTTACAGTCAGCATGTTAGCCCTGTACTAGAGAATTTTTTTGATGACCAAGCGGTGCGTTTGAATTTGCATACTGCTTGAACGACGACTCACTAGAAGTCCTAGCTATGTTGATGGATTGGCTGGCTTGTCAAGACTTCTTGGGCAGGCAGATTGTTGAATTCTCAAATTCTTTCATACAACCGTGTTCGATTACTTTTGAGTGGTTTGTAGCCACATTATTCAGGTTCGAAACAATCCTCCATCTTGTATGCCGTTTGGCATCTTTTTCGTGCATTTTCATTGTATAAGATGAACTTCTCCAAATTATCTAAAGAGTAATGACTTGCCAACTCCCCTAGAAGCTGGAAAACTATGATGGGTTTCCGGATAAAAACATTTTTGGCAATATATAATTATCGAATTTCCACAAATTCAAACGGAGAACTGAGCACCAACTACTCCATATTTTTTACACTTAGGAACACCTGAATTAGCATGACTTAGAAAAAAATTTTTGATCCTGTGTCCCGCTGGTTGATTAAAGATGTTTTGGGCAGCTGATAAACATGCGATTACAGAGGTTATAAGTGTACGGAAGGCTTGTTAATTTTTCATGAATCTTGGGTGATAACAGCCTCCATATCCAAAGTGAGAGTTCGTTAGATAGAAGCCAACTGTAATACACTATTTGATTACACCAGCTATGTTGTTTGAAAGAACCTTGGACCAGCCTTTAGCCATCACATTTATTCGCGCAAAAGACTACCGTACATCTGCACATCGACTATTCATTTATTTTTCAGTGCACAAGGATGTCACTTGTCTCTATATAAAATAAGTCCAGAAACGTTTCTGTCCGCCACTTCCCACATATATAGCTTCCTTAGTTCACACAGGGACAGAATGAGCTACTCAGTTGGAAAGGCTTATTATGAGTCAAGCTGCCGCTCTTCAAGATCCAACTCGCACGGTTGCATTTGCAATGTAGTTTAAGGTAGAGGTAATTTAAGCAATGGGAGCGGCAGTATTTAGTAACCGCTACGTTCCTCGGTGCCTCTTTATCCATTGATGTTTCGCTGTGGAATTTTTGGTTCAATTTTGGTTCAGGATTAACCAGGTGTGCTTTATGGCCGACTGAGGAACATCGCCGCCGTACACAATTAGAGCAATTGCAACTATTGAACCAATAGATTTGCACAGAAGGTCCTAAAGTGCATACAGTATGGATGATGTATGTTGTACAGCCGCTCTTCAAGATCCAACTCGCACGGTTGCATTTGCAATGTAGTTTAAGGTAGAGGTAATTTAAGCAATGGGAGCGGCAGTATTTAGTAACCGCTACGTTCCTCGGGTGCCTCTTTTCCATTGATGTTTCGCTGTGGAATTTTTGGTTCAATTTTGGTTCAGGATTAACCAGGTGTGCTTTATGGCCGACTGAGGAACATCGCCGCCGTACACAATTAGAGCAATTGCAACTATTGAACCAATAGATTTGCACAGAAGGTCCTAAAGTGCATACAGTATGGATGATGTATGTTGTACAGAGGGCCCTTATTCATGAATTGGCTTGCGTTGCACTTACGTAAGCTTTTTCCATCAGCATTTCCTAACTTGTTAAACATATACAGCCAAAAAAAGGAATTTACAACCTTGACAACATCCATTTAAACATTCTGTTTAATGTGCTCATGTCTATTTCTGTTCTTTATGTGAATGAATAATAATAAACTGGGAAAACGTCATTTTTCTCTCAGTCATTTTATCAACACAACCGTTTTCGTGAACAATACGTGCTGTCTAGCCAACCTTTTTTACTTTTTCGCCAATGCATTTGGAGAGACAAGACCTACGATAAAACATCATTCTTATGACTAAGGACTTTGACATTAGAACAGCCCATACGCCATCTGTCCTGATGGAAACTCTGTGCAAAACCACGCCCTGTAATCAAGACTTACGGCAACTCAACAGCTGAATGGATGAGTTTAATCATTTTTATCGATATAAGTCGTCGGAAGATATCTAAACCAATGACTGCAATGTGCGATGTTAAAACAGCTGAAAACGTACGTCATGCGAGTGACCGTGATCCTTCCCCATTTTGTCTTTCTTTCGCTTATGACCATCGTGCTTCTTCTCCTGTAAATTAATTGTATGAAATAGACAGCCTCGTCCGAAACTGTTGCAAAATGTGAACAAAGCTCTCAAAGTTTAAAAGAACTCGGCAAATAAATTGCATTTCAGTGTCGGTGTGGTAGACTAAAGCGCACTTCAAAATGTATTACGGAGCCATGATATGAGCTCCACAGAAAAACACCTTAACGAAAGTCTGGTAAAAATAGCCAAGTCTGAAGGCTGTAGCCAAATGCATTTATCGAACATGAAGCATGGGGGCATTTTTAGGATTACTTTTGCATGGAAATTCCATCTACTAAAGCTGCTGAAGAATAACATTTGAATCCGGGAACCATTCAGATCTACAACCATGACAGATATCATGCACGAACTATACATTACCTCAGCTAAGCGGTCTTCCATACTTAAAAGTGGATCTTTTACTTTCAAGGGTTTGGGGATGGTTGATGGCACCCAAAACGATGAAACAGAGAATCACCTTCCAAGTTCACTTGCAATGGGCACTAGGGGGTACAGCGAAGTTAAGTTGCTAAGTTATTCGGAGTACGGATCTTGTGTGTGTTGAGAACGTAGCCATACTTAGCCAGTATACGAAGAACTCAAAGGTCTGTTATTTGAGTGGTTTATCGTACACAGATAACTGAGTCCGAGTGGTAAAACCGACAAGAGAGTTCTTTTCTCCCAAATTATGTGACCATGTGGCATTCACTTTTCATGCAATTGATAGTTTCGTATGTATGCAAAGCCAAGTTATGACTTGCTGGGAGCTAAGAAACGGTTATTTTGAGCAGAACTTGGAAACATCTTGGGTGGTTTCAAATGACATTTCTTTTAATTAGAGAGGATAATGAATTAAAGTTGAGGCCGTAACCCACATTTGTCGTCTGCAACAGCGAAATTTACGTCAAAGGTATTGGTCCATGCCGTCTAAACAGCATTCTGGAATTGTCGACTTGAACAGTTATTTGTAAGTGTTGATTTACATTTTAGGAGCAACATATTGCGCTAGGAGGGCATCACAATAACAGTCCAATTCATACTGTTTTGCAGCAATCAGCACGACCAAGAAAGCATGTTTGTAACTCTTCAGGTTCATTTCCAATGTCACTGGTCCCAAGTTGTTTCAGCCAGCCTAAAATCTTTTCCGTAACACATTTCGGTTACCTAACCAAAAGTTGAGTAAATTTGCGCGGAACGTCTCTCACCGTTTAATAAATTTGAGACAATGCGCTAAGTTGGAACCGTTAAATTAAATAGCTTACAATTTTCAATTAGGGTGTCATTTAAATTCCGCGTTAGTTGCGACGAAGTAGCTAACAGTAGGATAAAATCCTCTCTGCGTATCCTCAGAATTTTGTGAAAAGTCCAATGAACTCGTTCTTGAGCTATATATTGCTAGGGCTTAGTATATTAACACTGGATATCGCTGTGAGGTGGCGTAATGGATCAAAATGGTTGCTCTGGAACAGACACCGGAGTCCGTCACGAAGAGACTGGACCTCAAAGTGGTGTGACGGCCCGTTGGTTTTCATGGCCCAGTGAACTATGCCTGGAGATGTCCGTGCGAAACTCGCAGTCTCCCACACTAGTTTGGTCACACCAAACAGCCCCCAGGTCTTCCAGGTTTGAAACTGGAACTTGCAAAGCGGCTTGTTCCTTAAAAAAAACCCAATGGTCTGACAATTCTTGCCAAATACCACTGCTTTGCATTTATTTTTCTGAGCCTACTCGTCCTTCGGTTCAGAATTTAGCACCGTGGTAGTATCTTAGCACCGTTCAAACGTGATTTCTCCAAATGGAAATAATGTAGTGGTGTGCCAGCCTTGCTTGGTGTAATCAGCCTTGTTACCTAACTTAATGCGTAGCGCTTCCCCTCTACCCAGTTCCTAAGTAATGTCTTCCCCGTACGCGAATCCACTAGAACTAGCAGTCCCGTTTTTCCTCTAGAACTCTTCACCGGAACTTCTATGAAACAGCTGCTTTTGTTGGTACAGTGAGCTGGTTTGAACTTGATCGTACCGCATACAAGAAATAGGAATTTAGGATTAAGGATAGTCCTTGAGCCAGTTAGCCTGTTATTCATCACCATCTTCTGACTGCACAACTCTGACGATTCTACGTCGCTGCGGTGCGCTTCTTGGGGGGTCGGAATTGTTCTTGGTCACCGGATTAAGGGTCTTGGTTTGACTGGAAGCCTATTGATGATCGCCTCTTTACGATACGTCTGGCAAAGTCATAAGCGAAAATTGGTCGTTTTGTGTTAATTTTGTCTGATTGCGTCAACGAAATGTAGCTCTTGCACCATCAAAGACAAGTTGTATGATGCTTTGAGTATCTGGTTACAGCAGATTAAACGTTCAGGTGCCGTTGCGGTTTTCGGAGACTTGAATAGACTAGTAGACGGAATGAGCGCACTCAAGACTCATTTGGGTAATCAACTTGGAATGGACGCGGCATAGACAACGGCGAGTGGCTTCTTCAGCTGAGTGATGACGAAGAAATTTTATGCACCACTGGCTTCCGAAATTTGTGGTGCTGCCCGAGAGTTTGCCAGCCGCTGACCCAAATTGATCATGTCACTCTGACGCGCAGACGGCTTAGACCAGTAACTGACTATTGCTCCTTTTGGAAGACCTTTGTGGATTCCGATCATGTATTAGTCCGGACTCAGTTTACTGTCTTTCAAGGCCGTGCAGGGCACGGATGACTAGCTTAGGAACTAAGATCGTCATGAATACCAAAGTTAAGCAAATTTCTTAAGACCGTCCTTTGGAATCTCCACCTTCACCGCTGGATGTCATTCTGCACCACAGCCAGATCGCCACATCTCTGCTTAATGACAGGAGCTTTGTGTGCAGCACAGCGCTGCCAGCTGCAATTGAGTACGGAATATCAGGCAGTACGTGGACGCTGCTAGAATCTTTGCGTAGTGCTCTCGCTGATCTAGGACATAATCAAATCCTTTGAATTTTCAGACGTCAAGTGAACGTTAACGTTCGCGCTGACCATATATCCTGGTAGATATTGAATGTTAACCGAACGGAACAGGTGAAGAATGCCGGGAGTAATCAAAAATCAGTTCAATTGCTCAGTGCAGTTAGTCCCCAAAAACTGTCGATGAACAAGAGCGTCAAGTATTAAACTTGTAAGAACATCTCCAATAGGGTGGGACCCTTCGATCTCTAGGATGAGCACTTTCAACAGCTATTCTTGTGCCCACCTGATGCGATCTTATCGCATTCTCTAAAAGCACTAGAACTCTACGGTTCGGGAGGTGTAAGAATGTATGTTTTCTCTCAAGTTTCTGGTACGAATAACCAACTGCCAGTATTGTTCAAGAATGGGATTCAAGTTTTTACTTAGCACCTGTCCGACCCACTTGTTTCTTTGCGATAGAACGAGGCTCCCCGGACAATTGAAGAGAGAATTTAGCAATCACGGTGAGTTCTTTGGTCAACCTGTGACTACTGTGAGGCACGAAAGCGATTTCAAAATTCCTGACCACTGTCGGTGTTACTCGCATTCCAGCATGGAGTCCGCTCTGTAACAAAGCACTGATGGTGTCAACTGATGCGGGAACGTTTGCAATCAAACTATCCAGCTTCGCGAACGAATGGACGAATGTTTATAATGCCTGATGTACCAACATCTTTCTGCATCCAGATTGTCAAAACTTGTGTCTGGAGGTGTGGGCACCTAGAAATGATGGTGTTCGGATAGCACTGAGTCGGTACCTCATCCGCTTTCATCCTTTTTTCACAATAAAGCTTCCAAATAACTTATTGTTTTATAAAGCCGAGCACCGGCGCTGAACACTGTTATGTTGTCGAGAATGATTCTGCTGCTGTGGAGTCTTTGGAATAGTTGGACGACAGGTCACACTGGTAAATGACTACTAACACCTGGCCTATGTTACCAGAAGAACTTACCCATGCAGTACACATTTATTCGCCTATAGGTCAAGTCCTTGAAGTGCATCAGACCCAGATCAAATCTTATAGGGGTGACTTATGTATAGAGTGGCTCATAAGAAGCAGTAAGTGGTTAGCCCAACTAGAGTAAAACTCCGGACCTTATCAATAGCACCGAACAATCCGTGTATAGATACACTGAGCTAGTCATAAATAAATAGTACTTTGGATATATAGGGTTACTCAAGGGCGATTATGAGTTCAAATCTACCCTACGATCAAAACTTATTGAGTTGATTTTCGTTCCTAATGTCAAAATCTTGGTGACTTCTGATCGCGATATGAATGTCCGGCATTTGTTAAACAGTTCAAGGACTTTGACTTGAGCATGTATACTGTCCCATAAGAAGTTAGTCGGTTCTTAGGATGTGAACTTTATTGATGGAACCTACAGTGGAATGCCTCTGGTGTTAACCACAGCGCTAAAATTTATGCGAGGCGCCTCTCGACTTTTGGTTTGTAAATAATGTCTATAGCTAATCAGTTGTGAGTCCACTTGTGATTTCAGTGTAATTTATCCATTCGTATTATGGCCAATCAATAAAACTGAACCCACCACATGGTGTATCCGGATCATGAAACCTCCTGACAACTTTCCACAGGTCTATGGGCTTGCGAATTGTCGGAGCTCACCTGTACCCACTTATTCCCTTAATAAGTTGAGTCAGTTATAATAAGGCAACATTGTTATCGCTAAATGAAAAGAAATTTCAGACTTTCTTCTCCATAGATGTACTGAAAGAACTGCATTCAAAAAGGACAATGTTTGTATTTCCGAGCAATCCTTCTGTTTGAGAGTTTCGCAGGTTTAGGCAACGTGAATCCAGAAAACCATTCACATCGCCCCTTCTGTTGTCATCTTTTTCTCTGGACGGAACTAGTTTCGCTTGGTGATATATACAATATCGGAGTCTGCCTTACATCATCTACCGGGATTTTTAGCAGTTGGTTTATACGCGAATGTATCCGTTACTGTGTATCTGTATGTTGTCTAAGGGAAGTCTGTTGGCTAAACTATGTTTGCGTTAGAGAATTAGGCTGCGGATCTTCTATTTTCAAATGTTGCACGAAACTGAAGATCACAAACACTTACCGGAGATGCTGGTTCGTTTTCATGACGGTCCTCAGAGTCAGGCATTACAATCACCTTGGGGACAACTAACAACGGCCCGGTGCCAACAGTCTTTCCACTGTCTTTTTTCGACTTCAACTGAGTATCCTCCTCATCTTCTTGCGCCTTCTTCCCAGTACGGGAAATATGTTCGTCCATTTCAGCAAGCTTCTCATCTTCAAGGGCATCCTCCTCAGCATAACGGTAGAGTAAATCGATGTTTCGCATGGCTAAATTGTTGAACCAATAACTGCAAGTTATGTCTGATGGGCGAAACAACTGAAAACATTTGTGGAACAGTAGTACTGTTAAACAAATATTTTAAATATTTCCGTAGGTAATTTCGTGACGAAAACATCTCTGTGCAAGTAACAAGTCAGTTTACAGTTTTTACTGCTATATTAGAAAGCTCTTCACATCGACCAGTGACGGGCGCGGACAAAAATGGTCGTTTCAGCTGAGAACTGCTGTAAAATACAGTGAAACTCGGTGTTTGTTCATGAAAAAGGGCACTTTACTGCAGCATATGTTTCTTACAGGCAGTACAGTACAATAAGATGGTTAAAAAGGATACTACTGCCAGTGATGAAAGTAAAAAATCATTCCATGAGAGCCAGTACTGTGGTTTGTCATGACCGGACAGCAACGTGCGAGTTACAAATAACTTAACTCAGCTCTGGATTAATTATTTTTAGAGTTACAGTTCACTGTGTTTGTTTCCATTTGAAATTCCTCAAGTAGATGCAGCTCTCTTAGCAATTAATCTAACGACTTTCACTGGTTCTAATATAGATTCCATCTTGTAAGTGAAGCCAACCTAAGCTGAAACCCCAGAAGTATTGTACATCTGTTTCAACTTTATTAGAAATCACCAGCAGTGCGCACTTCACGAAACTCCGGGGATTTCAGCCCGCGATCTACCAGCTGGTAGTATGATCACTGATATGTATTGCCGTCAACTCACACTTATGACATAGCGCTGTTCATCATTTGATTTTGGAGTCCACGTCATTTGTTCACACTTGCTGAATGGCTTCTCGAGAACTAAATTTCGAATAAATCTCCGAGATCTCCACATGTTATCAATAACTTTCACCAACTGCTTCAGCAGAGATACTTCTTAATTTTGTACTATCTTTGAACTACTCACTGGTAATTCAAGGACTTAATAAAGAGATCACTATTCGCGGTGCACAAATCAAACTGTCTTTTGAATCGCCGTCCTTTTCTTTGAGGAGAGGAGACTTATACAATGTCTAGATCCTACGCAAGATTGATTCAAAAGGCTGGGTCTGTATTGAGCGCATTATCGTGAACCGAGCACGACAAAAATCTGCCGCCTGGTTTATTCCTAAAAGGAGAACAAGGAGTCAAAACGCGACCCGCAACTCCGCATTCGCCAAATGAGTGTTCTATTGCAGACATCTCTACATGCCAAAAGTGAACCTTCTTGTATGATTTACGTCAGGCTGCACCGCTTACATAAAAAAACTGTCCAGTGCGGTGTCAAGCTCATTATGACTACAAGTCTGAGACCACTAATGCTCATTTATATTTTTACTGACTTTAAATGTTTTTACTTATTTTGGCAAGCATTTTGAACCTTTTAGGAATACAACAACAAGTGCGTACTCAGAATGCTTCTTAGCTTCACAATCTCCATGAACAACACAAGGGTAACTCCTTCACTTGCTACGAAATTTTTCTACTGTTGTCTAAAAGCCAGAAGTCCCTGAATTGCAATCTACTGTTGTTTTTGCCTCAGTTGACACTAATCGGGCAATTTTAGCACAGTCTGATGGCCTGATGTTGATACTTTAAGTTTAAACTCCTATTTCCGAGATAAAGTAATCCATGATCCCACTTATGAAATCAAATGTTTTCAAGTTGATCCAGCACGCGCTTAAAAATCAGTTAGAAAACTTTGGCTGGGTATGGGCTTACGACACTAAATTAGGGCAATCGAACTGTTTTATGTGCCTACAGTATGGCCCAAATAAGGCGAAGACAGGTAAAAACTTGGCTTTAAGTGGTTTTTTCCAACGTTGTAATGTTCCTTTCTCATGTAGTGGACAACCTCAAGTGCACTTTACGAAAAAATGAAGCTGGGCTAAGACCTCGCTGTTATTCGTGCTTTCGGGAAATGGCGGCTCTTCCTCAATCCGATAAATCCTACACCAGAACAACAGCGCAGATTAGGTGAGGCAACCGTCAAAAACTGAAAGCATACTTCGCTTTTGTGCTGGACTGGTATGAAACGGTTAGTAATTCTTTTCGTAACGAGATGAACATTGTTTATTTAGCCATAAATATATCGAGTTAAAAAGACTTACAAAATCCAACGAAGAAGTGCATGATTCTTAAACTAGATGCGTGGGACCTATCAACCTCGGCGTAAACCAAACATTGCTCACTGTGTTGTACCATTTGCTGGTTCTGCCGTCCTGTTTTTAGTCAAATCACTCTAATGGATTTTGTGTTTCACACATTTTCGTATAACTGGGACTAAGTCCAGTCAATATGTAAGCTAAGTGGATCACTTTACCTTTGCTGCTCAGGCCAGTAGTCATTACATCTTCATTAGCAATGGACATGGCTCTGGAGGCTCTGCGACAAACGGAAGGATCAAGCTGCGACAACCTCCGTGGTTGTCCAGGAACTTGCAATGTAGCTGGTGCAATGGATGGCCGAAACGTACTCAAGCGTCTTATGTCCATGGACCTACGAGGATCCTGCATTGCACGTTCTTGGCTTTCCTGATATTGAGGAAAAAACCCAGGAAACCCTTATAAACTTTGAGTTTATGAATATCAGAATAGTCAACTATACATTAAACATGACTTCAATTTGAGCGCGCTATTTTCCAAAGGCACACCTTTGTGGGAATCGCACAGGAGGGTCCAATCCTATTTTGAGTTGGTAAGGGATTATGCTTCAAAAACGTAATACACTACTCAGCTGAATCCCAGGCCAGTCTCCCGCCAAAATCAAATTGGTATAGAAATGAGTGTACTTCGCTAATTATGCTTGGTCGTGATGAACGAATACCTCAATATCCTGATATCTACTCAGGAAAGGAAAACTTACATACTGGCTCTGTTATTTGGCTTCCAAAGTTTTGGCTGTCTTATACATTACTTTTCTGAGCATCCTTAATTCTTTCACAATAAGTTTCTCCCTTGTTCTTTTCTTGTCACCAGCTCATTGCGCATCAGATTAAGACATTGTTCGCTGCATCCCATAAACAACTATTGATGGCGTACTTAAAGTCCATGCTTGCTCATGGGTTTGCGAAAGAGAAAACACAATAGCTTCAACGCTAATTAACTGTCTATAAACTCATGCGGATCCACTGTCTTTCATCTCACAAACGGGGAAGAAATCTAATGGATTCTAGTGTGCTTTACGTTTTGTCAATATGTGGGAAGGTTTTATCTTTTAAGCAATATAATATTCCTAGGAGCTACTCGTAAAACTTTGTTTATAACTTTTTTCAAGTGTGTGTGGTCAAGCCGATTTGTCGGTCGCATCAATAAACACTTAGCCCACCTCTCGATGTTTATGGAGCAGTTACAGACTGCTAGTAAACAGTGTAAAAAAGTGAAAAAATGTTTTAATGATATGGCAAACAATCAACCAAAAACTGTATTAACCATCTGTCCATAGCAGCTTTTGAATATTCATTTCAACAAACACAAGCAAGCATAGTAGTTATCTTATTTATCTGCAGCTTGCTATAATCTTTTTGTGCTGGTGCGCTGGATTTAATATTAGGAGATCAACTTCAGATCATATTCATGCAAGTATTACTTGATGGGTGTCCTGAAATGCCACTTCGTTTATATCTGCGCTCGTTGCGACTGAAAGAGCCATAATTTGTCTGAACATTTCTGCGCAACAGAAGATATGTGTGCAGGATAGGAATCAGTTTACAAAATGCATGTTTTTTTATAAGGCAAATTTTACTGAAAAATACGACGGCAAAAGTACTCGCTTTTTCAAGTTTCTTCTCTGCACGGTACTCTGATACGAAACCAAGGATCTTTTCCGCCATGAAGAAAAAATAGACGCCTCCGAGAGCAACCAGACCTTTGTATACCGCTATTCGTTCTCCGTTGCCGGCATCCTCATGTCCAGCATCATGGCTGTGACCTTCACCAGCAGATATAGCCTAAAGCAAAATATGAAAAACGCATTCCTCTATTTCACTCATAAGCGTATCAAGGGCGGTAGTAATCATTCGCATTACAGAAACAAGAAAACTTTCGTTGAAAAGGTGCAGTTTCGCTTGAAATTTGACAAAGATATTGGCTTTACCCTTTCAGTAAGTTAAAGCATGGATGGATGCCATGTGATTGGCTTAGGGTGGACCTTAAATAGAGTTCCGGACCCCCTCTGTCTGGTTAGGGTAGAAACAAACGCTAGTCAGTCATAATTCTAATGCGTTAACCGCTGTCTCAGAATAAAGCCTCTCATGAGATTAATTGACTAACGCACTGACTTATTCTAATACATGTGACCGTTTCTCTGGTTCATCAATTTAGATGTACGCACTAATCGGATACACAAAGTAAACCATCATTTATTCAGTGATTTTCTAGGCATTACCGGGAGTGTTTCTTCTCAAAAATGGTCCATAATTAATCTAAGCCGACGGGGAGCAAGTCCACCTGCTCTTTTATGTGGAAAGTTCTAGCTAAAGGTTGCTCTTCTAGATGGTGAGGTTGTATAATTCTTTCAGTTTCACTGTAAACGTAATCAGTAACAATGGCGTTGAAGGTAATTACGCGAAAAGCCTGAGAAATGCTGATGCAAGTAACTATTTTTACAAGGATCTCCAAAAGAACGAAAGCCTCAACGTAGGAAATGATTGCTGCCATACGTTTCCTACAGGCTTTCAAATGACATCCGTGATTGATAAAGAACTTCAAACAGAGGCGGCGATTTTTCGCCAATATAGAATGGTTTCCATGTAACTCTTCTCTTATAGAAAGTTCCTCGCAAGAGTTCATTTTTAGGGGTTAATATTTAGATAGAAAAAGTGCAACTAACATGCGAGCGGGCAACTGCTTCACTTTTGAGAGACTCATCCGGCATTCTAGTGACATCCTTGTTAATACTAAATAATGTTGAAAAAGGTGTACTTTCACGACAGAGTCCAATTTGTGTTCAAGTGGAATATAAGGTTTATATGACCCCCGGGGGCTGTGCCGCAAGAAGATCGAAACCGATTTTGGGCTGTAGTGGAATATTCAGCAACCTTGTAAATTATATTCCCTTGGAGTGATCATAATCCTATCTTCTCCACAGAAATGTTCTTCCCTAGACAAAAACTCGTGCTCTTGAACGTTTCAAATGGAACAATGCAAAGAAGGGCTTTGGATTCATTACATTACTCACTGTTGGATGGGGTCAGTGTTCATATCAGGGGAAAAGGTTCTGTTTTTCAATATTAAAAAATATACCAAGCAAGATCCTTGACGCTAAAATTCTGGTTACTAGAAATTAAGCGAAAACAAGTTGGGCAGTTAGTAAAACAGTGGAGCTGCTCAGATTAGGTAACCATGAAGAAATTAGGAATTATCCAGAAAAGAACAGATTGACTTAAAAAAAGTGGGTGGGATGGACGTGAATGTTGATCGCGAAGTTTTGTCCGAATAGCTCGTTCATACTATATAGTATTTTGGAATCGTTAACTACAATGTATTTAGTTACACAGCAGGAGATCGTACCTACACTGTCTCGTGTCGGAAAAAGACTTGGCAACAAGGAACACGACAGCTATGTTGAGAACAGGGAAGTGCAAAATTTCCAGTGGGCGTCGCTATATCTATAGAACACTTTGGAACTTCAACCCATAATGTCTAACTGCCTTTGGATCAACACTCATCATCATAGGCCAGCCTTTTGTGGCACGCCTGGATACCCTTCCTTGTTGAAATTTGTTGAACTACTTAAGCGTTCAATTGGAAAATGGCTTTTCTGGCTTGGATGCCTGACAGCTACTTTGCTTCGTTTTTTTGGGGACTTCGAGGGCGTCACTAGCTTTCGGGTATTCTGATTATATTATTTTCAGGAATCTGATCTTTCTAAACTTATGAAGGGTGTTATTGATTTTGTGTAACTCAGTATTTTTGCCGGAATAAAAAAGCTTGCCAAATGTTTCCTTAATTTATTGATAATCACAACAGTGAAAAGAAGTTTTCATTGCCTCGTTTGACACATGCTTTGCTCTGCACTGAACATTTGAATACACAACATTTAGAACCGGAAGATATGATGAGTGGTCTTAAGAAGATTGAGTGAGCCTGGCCCATGATACTTGGGACGATTCAAGGCGGTTACGAAACCATCATCAAGTGCAACAAAAATCAAAAAGCGGGTGCGCGATAACAAACAGGTGAGAACGTGAAGTTTGGTGCCATTTGTGCTCTTGGTGTTCTCTGTAGTCTACTGCTTTCCAAGTAAGAATCGGAAATCAGAACTAGAATGGAAATGGGATACAGCAAACATAAAACCAGGCCAATTTGGAAACGAAATTCTTAGTCTGTAACGGTTTAGTATGTGTGTACGGAGCAGTAGGCCGTCGTTTACATCAACATACCTCCTCCTGACAAGCCCTGCTTTGTGCGAAACAAATCATCACGTATTGGGTACCAACCATTAGGTTAATAATGCCTTGTCAGCAGCCCACCAAAGGTTTTGCATGTTTCGAAGTTATCGGTTGAGCGTGACCACCTAATTCCCCTTTATCGTATACCTCACATAAACCGTAGACAGAAATCTTTCAAAATTAGACATTCTCTTAGGCAAATTAATTTACATTTCTTGGGTTGATCTTCGGTGAGTCTCCATGGGCTTCTATCTAATAGAGAGAAGCTCCTACAGCACTTCTAATGTTTTTCAAAATGAACGATATGGCGGTCGTTTTGAGCCCCATCTATTTGAGAAACTATATAAAGAATAACAAACTTTGTGGATTTAATGTCAGAAAACCTATAGAGCAAAATTAACCATACAGTTACATAGTCTGACTGCCATTATGAATTGTACCCTACTGTGAAACAAATATATAACTTTGCGCCTCCAATATGATAAACGGCGATAACGGGCGAATGCGTATAACTCTGTAAAAGTTGTGGCGATTACTTACATGTGGTATTAAGTGAAGCATGGCATCGCCCGTCAGAGTTCCAACAGCAACGGCGACCAAGTATTGAATCACTTGATTGAAAAACATTTTTTGCACCAGTGGAACAACCGCAACGCCCAACAGTCCAACAGCACTGACTACGACAATAGCGATGATGGACGCAGCCCAAACTCGATGTTGAGAGTAGATAAAAGACGTACAATGGGTTGGATAAACATGTAAAGGCAATTAACACACTAGATAATCCTTAAGAACCTACAAATCTACAAATCCTACGACATTATTTCAAAGAAATAGTAGGGTTCCAGCCGAGAAGTTTCCAGTTTCAGGACAACTGACCAGTCGACCGCTTAACGTGATCTGTGTGATTTAGCTCTTTGTGCTGAGTCAAATCCCCCTAGTACATGTAGTACCAAGTACCACCAATAAGCAAAGATCACCCTGCACACACGAGAAAGACTTGTAAGCATGGGATCCTTATCATAACAATAATACAACCGGACATTTTGCTGCGCTCTTTCGAAGGTCTTGTCAATTATGTATACATAGCTTCTGAAGAAAAATATACATTATTTTCAGCATAAAACTTATTCACTAGCATTGTGAGCTCGTGATTCCGTGAAAATTCTGAACAGTAAATAATCAAAAGGCATTACCCAGACAGCCAACATAAAGTTCAGTCACGAGGAGGACAGTCTTATCACGAGTTTCTGGTAAACAAACACAAAGGATTTCTCATTTTTTATTCATTGTTTGAAATTCTGCGACAGAGTTTATCGGTCGTTTTTAATTCTGTATCCCAAAACATGTTGTTAACATGCTACAACTGGTTATGCCGTACAGATTGTTTTCGGGCATCAAAGATTGTATATTAATACAACTGCCGACTGCCAGTTGAATCATAATTCTCGTTTTTTATCTGGTGAGGATGATGCAAAAACGTGATCCTCAAAACCTCCTAATTTTATTTCATCACATGTTTATCAGACTGGTATTAGGCAGTAAATCAAAATAAGCTTTTTTATTGCAAGTAGAAAGTATACACACATTGACAAATAAACCGACGCATACAGCAAGCAGATTTGAGACATTATGAATATTTTTCATACCTTTTGGACGAATGTCGAAGATGCTGTACTGTTGATTCTGTAAATGCATAAATACCAAACAGATTGACAGCTAATTGGCGATAGACTTAATACAGTGCAATCAATAATCAGCATCCAGCCTATTCACAAAGATCGACATTTCTAATCATGTCAAGATGTATTTTTCCTCAAAGTCTTGGTCAGAAAGCTCGAACACGCTTTTTGGAAATTCACACTTTTTTTGTAAATCGAGGCTTTATTTGTCTCATTGGGCAGATGTAAGAATTTATACAATCACAAAGAATAACTATTCTGTTACTTGCGGGAACCAAATGATATAAGCTTAGTCAAGAATAAAACGTCAAAATATTTTTTTAGAATTTGAGTACGCCCAAATAATTAAATTTTTCGTTTTGACGTATATGTCCGTTTGATTTTTCATCAGTGCATAGTACGAAGACTGTGTTATGGAGTTCTCGAAGGTACTTCAGTATTCCCTTAATGTTGTCTTCAATTTATTAATAATTAAACAATTCATAATAGGACACAAACGTTACAAAAATGCTACCATTCTTGCCTAACCTTTGTCCTTTGCCATATTTTACACATTGTGTGGCTTGATTCGAAACCAAACTAGTGGTCCCTTTAGGTGAATCCAGTCACAGGGGTGTAAACCAAGCCACGAGATCAATAATATTTTTCGGCGTGTTATTTCCTTCGACATACAGAACAAAGTGCTAATGGAAACGTACATCCACATGCCTTGCAAAACTCGTTTTCTTTAGTGAAATTACTCTTTTTGTATAACTTTTCAATGTGCTTAGATCTGTACAAGTAAGTTGCTTTTGATCCTTTGCCACATAATTTAGAAAGAATTCGAAATATAAGGGTAATACACACTATAAATTACAGATTATTGGACATCTCAGAGTTCTGATTTGCGTGTTTTGTGTCAGCTAGCTTTAATTCTGTGCTGTTATGCCTGTGGTAAGTCTACCGAGTGAGTACTGAAAGTTTTCAAAAGCCATTGCGCAACTACCCTCAAATAAGGCCTCCGGACTCAGGAGGATCGAGGATGGATACTTTGGTTACCAAGTGAATTAGGTCTTTGCATCTTCAGTGACCTTCAAGTAACCTTTGCTTGGAAAATCATTATCATAATTGAGACGTTTGTATCAAATTAAAAAGGCGAAAGACATAGTCGGGATCTATATCATGGAAGGTAATTTACTGCGTGCCCGCTGAGGTAATCGCCCAAACTCTGACTCCAAATAAGATTCCGCGAAATCATGACTCGCTTCCTGCTTATTAGATAGATATGATTCGTTTCAGACTTCAATGGTCACAATGTCGGATATATATTGTTATTCCCGATGGTTTTTCTGCTGATTTGCAGATTCTAGTCGGTTTTGCAAACGCTAGAGTCGTCCACCCAAACAGAAGCCAAGCAGAATTGAGGAAACTCGTTAAGTCAATCAACGAAGGTTTACCGGGAAGAGGTGCAGTCTGTGATAGGCCAGCCACAGTGGTTACCAGTAAGCAAGCTGAAATGATCAGCACATTAAAATGTATTCTTCTCGGTTACCGAAATATCTGCACCCATCTGAGCAACTTCAGTCAGAGAATAACTGTGAGTTCTATCTACGGTTGGCTGGTCGATAGTGAATGCTTTTCTGGTCCTACTACAGTGGTACGCTAGATAACTTGGTTCTAGACCGACTATGCCCGTAATGAGCTCATATCTTGAGGTTCCGTCTCGCTCTGAATTAATGTTGCCTAATTTAGAAGTAACCTGTTGAAATTAACTTAATCGCTGTGTACGTAATCATCCCATTAGTGGACTGCACTGTCAGGGGAAATTTCGTGATGAGTTGCAAAACAGTAGACAGGATATGGAGGTGCGATATAAGGTTAATTTTAGGCAGTGTGGAGTAATATACGCTCAATAGTCTGGAAATGTCTGATATAATACTACGATGTAAAAATGATGATCAACTTCCAAACTTTGTTGTGTCACAGCCAGTGCGCGGTTCTACCTCCTCAAGCAGCATTTGCAGGTGTAACATTTGAATAAAGTTGCACTGTCTCTTAAATCGACTATGCTCTAATGAGATCTCGCAAAGAATTAGTGTAAACGTCTTGTTAGTCCTACCAAGGAGATGAAAGTGAGAACAAGAAAAAATCGGGCGATTCTCCCTTGCAAGCGTAAGGCGAACATTATTCTGTTATCAGAAAAAAAGAATTAGTCTTCAAAGTAAATTACACAATCTCGTTCCAAAGTATTTTGAAAAAATTCTGACCAACGTTCTTGAAAATAAAATGCAACTGGTAGACGATCACTCGTGTCTAGCTGGAAATCAGTCGGTTTTGGCGGATCACCAGGGATCCTTATTTAACGAACCTTGTCAAAAAACCGCAAAGAGCTGTTTTGATGACACCACGCAACAGTGCGAAACCGATTATCAGACAAGAAGCAGAGTAAAAACAAACCTCAATAGTACTACTGAGTCCATTAGAAAAGATCATATCTCATAATTATTAAATACAACCGCAAATTTCAAGAAGGCGGAACTTTGTTGAGCTGTTTCTATCAGAAGCTAATCCCAATAATCACTTGTGTTTGATATAGAAAATGAGCCGATATTTCGTCCCCCGAGAGGAAAAACGATGGATAAGATAAACAAGCTAACTGTTAAACTATCCCGACCTTCACACAAGAAACAGACAGATTTTGATAATGAAACCTTACAACATTAGCTGCAAATCTCCAAATCAACCAGAGGTTGGTCAACAGTCTCAAGAATAGAGAAGTTTCTGGTGTGGATGGCAATCCGCCTGAGATGCACACCTATCGATTGCCAACAATTCTCCCACCTCTACAAAACCTACACTGTTTCTTGTCTGAGGTGGAGTCTATCCTCTTGGAGCATTTTGCTTTCGCTTCGAGTTCCTTGAAAAGAGGACAAGTTCATTTGAGAAAGTGATCATGATCAGTTTTGAAAATAATAATGCCACAACGAATTTCGTTGATGTACTTCACTAAAGATTTTAGAAATAACAAGACTTCAAATACGACACAGTCAGTGTGATTTGCGCTCTAGAATATACAGTTTTGACTAGATATTCACAATTTGCTGACTTCTGAAAGATCAGGAAAAACTTTACTATAGATCTATCGCCTGATTCGTCGAATTTCGCGATTTATTTAACCATACCAACGTGAATCTTTATGTACCGTCTTTTGAGATGTGGGTGCACCAGCGGAAAATGTTTCCCTAAAAAGTACAGTATATCTCAAAGAGGACTAAAGTCAAATTACATGGTGAAGTGACCTCTGAGTTTCAGCTCGCTTCTAAAGGATGCCCTCGTACATCAGTGTTATTCTACTTCGTAACAATTAGTAGAAGCAACAGCTTTTGTAAGTATTTTCCGTTGTCAAGCTGAGCATAAGCGTTTTGGTTTCAGACCCTGAGTAAGCCGATGACAGTATCTTATTTCCTAAAGGCGAAGATTTACCGGTTGTCGTTGATCGAGCCAACTATCATGTAGGATTAATTGGACTTGTAATCGGCACCTATGGGAAAAAATTTGTCTTTACACAAGTAGGTGCTCAAATGGTGTTTTTAGCACAAAAATATCATTAGTTTGAAGGGGAAACTGCATTTGAATACTATAAATCTATCGTTCCACGTAACGGATATGTGTAGGAGGGTGGTGGTCTTTGTATTGACGCGGCATTTTCGCCTCTAAAGAGACCCTACGAAGGTATGGACCCCATGTCGAAGGTATATCTAACTGTGCACAAAGATCCGTTTAATTGAGGTGGCATTCCCGCCAATTTTTACTTATGACTGCGAAGCCATACCGGTTTGATTCAGTAGATTGATTAACTCAATGTCCCTAATTATTGTTGTAATTTTTATTCTGGATTTACAGCGACTTGATAAGCCACAAAAATTATTGGATATAAAACACCGCTTCAACAGCAGAACACTACAGAACCAGAATGTTCGACCCATCACTGAGTCCTTTACCAGACTATGGTTGGTGTTGTCCTTGTCAGGAGCAGGAGAAAACATGTTCCGTGCAGTTAAGTTAGATTTGGAGGGTTTCTCTATTAATTTGGCAGAACTTGAAACTTGCCGTCGATCTGCATGGATCTAGCCTTGTACCACTGCTCTTAATCGGAAATGTGATGGACATCTGTGGAACCGAACTATTCTTTAACGGAAAACAGTTTTAATAAAGCAGAAATAATAAAAGGATTACGATCTATTTGTGGAGGCATGGGTCACAAGATTTTGCAATAATAATAAATAGTTCTTCTCAGTTTGAGGTTAAAACCTGCTGGCTGTTTTCGTTCATCGTGATGTGGTTGGTCGTCTTTTTAAAAAATTTCCGGATATCCAGTATATTCCCATTCAGGGCTAATATGCTCTATACCAGATGCTCATACTGGACCATAAATCTGTCAATATCCTTTGCACACCGAAGTGCTGAAAAGAAATGTCTGTGCATTAAAAGCAACAAAGACCACGAGATCAAAAACCACTCCCACTGCTTCGCCGAATGAAACGAGAAACAAAATCAAGCAATAATCATGAGTTATTTTCGAGGAGGTTCACTGACACGCTTGACACACGTGACACGTATTCTCATATTTCTACATTTTGGTATGTAAAATTAATCAAGGGTCTTGTTTTTTAATTTCGTTGCATCCAGTAAAAAGAACCTAACGGCAACCAAGGGCGCTGGAATGTGAAGTACACTTAGTCGCAGTGTGGAACTAGATACACATCTGGGGACGCTTGATTTTCATAGCACCTACGCTCTTGAACTTTAAAGCTGATTTGCCACACATCTACATAAGTTAATAACAGCTGGTACTTGTCAGGGTCATTAGTGAGCCTGTTTTCAATCTTCACGGTGGATCGAATATTGATAGTATCCAAGAGCCCAAGAGGCACTGGTGACACCGAGAAGCAAAAGAGTATTTAGTGTATGATAAAGCGTGAAGTCTGAGTATATATCGCATGAATGAGAAGATCCTCGTGGACTGACCTGAACCGCCCACAGTTTAGAAATGTCACTGATCTAAGTGTCGTTTCTGTTGTACACATGCTGTTTTCAGGATGCCGCAAGTTTTTGTTTCAGAGAATGTGCTTGAATTGACAACAGTGAATAGGCGTGTGTGTGCGTTACTAAGAGCTCAGTATCAATTAAATTATTCCTTTCTCGAACTTTCCATGTTACTTCAGATTGGTATCCACACTAACCGTTTGAACAATGGGTTTTCTGTCTATTGTTCGAATCTGATCAAGGCAACAGAGAGCACGGTGTTGATTTTATTTATGGGACACCAAGTATTCTGGTTCAACTACGTTGTCCCGCCTAGCATTCCCAATGAAATTTTGTGAACGGGCCCAGTTCTATACTACAGCGTAGAAGGACAACTGAATCGGTGCTGCATAAGAAAACTCAATCAACATCCTTTGTTTTGAAAGTTCGGAAGGAGTTCAACAGTCTCTTACCGGCGGTACTGTCAGCGGATCGTCGGATGTTGGGGCAGGTAAGGATAAGCCAATCAATTACATTACCACCGAAACGAATTAATGAGTGGTCAGTGGGAGTTAATGAGCAGCGTGATTCCCTGACGCATTTTGTGAGTGTAGCAAATACACTTTTGAAGTAAATGCATTTCAGCATGGAACTTCTGGGTCTGCCGCTTTCTGTTGATCAGCTTTCGGTCAAATCAAATAGGAGACCTATTGCCCAACTCAGAGAACGAATCAGCGACCAGCCTCCAATCCGCCAGTGCACTGTAACCGTATATGAATGCCAAGAGCCCAGGGAATAATTTTCTGCGTATACACAAATCACCTTGAATTTGTCGGAATAAGAAAAATCATGTGCATAGTAGTAATAGCTAATATGATTGTTGTGAAAAACTATTTGCAAAAACTTTCGACTAAAGAACTTACAGCAGTGGTATTCGCCAGTTCCAGCACTTTCAAATAAGTTTTCTCACAAAACTGTAAAAATGTTTGTTCGTTCTGTCGATATCTTGGAACTTCTGTATGGTTATACCATTCTGCAAGTTGACTTTTCGTGACTTTCTGTAGAAAGAAGAAATACAATAATGAAGAATTTAGATTTCATTTAGAATCGAATGTGAGGATAACTGAAGCAGGCCAGGGTTCCGGTAGGCTTAGTAGCTCAAGCTGTCTTATCTATACCAGACATTCGGTTAAACCACACTGGGAGGAATATAATAAATATTCTTTGTGTCCCTCCACCACAGAAGCCGGAATCACTGATACTTAAGAGCGATGTTAAACAAGGCAACCTTGCTGTAGGTGTACCCATTCAGCATGTGTTCGCTGATCCCCTTTCTAACACAGTTTCATAGTTAATTAAACCAGAATTTGTTTAATGGCACAAGATAACTGACTGAATGTGGCTTAGTTACTCGGGAAATAAGATGGCGAATTTTGTAGAATTGATGAATTGATGAATCGGTCGGCTTATATAATTGACGAAATTTAATTGACCGTAAACGACATGTGGATTAGTGCTCTTTGATTACGAAGATACCAATGTTGTAATGATGATAAAATGACCGAGTGACTCAGTCGAAATTGTAGAAACGCCTTAAGCCAAATGAGTTTATTTTTGGCGATGAAGGCAGCTTGCATTTTTTGAACTTTTCTCACTAATAATTTTTACTATTGCTTCTGGATTTTATTTCGATTGATGCCCCAGTCTACAGGTGATAGGAAAATATACGTCACGACAAACTAGTCGCTAAAATATGTAACTTCATCTCTAGTGTTTTACTCACACACCAGGGTTTTTCAGAAAACACATGCACACTGCAGTATGTGTACGCATTGGTCTACAACCCTGACGGTTGGAGTTACTCCATGTAGTCTGTGAAGCACCCCGGGGGTGTACCCATCCATCGGGAAAGTATTTTCATACGTTGATAACATTTTTGCATCTCTGGATACTTTCAATGGATACAGGTGTAAAATAGAATGTTAGATGTCCCCTCTGCATAATTACAGTGTTTACAGCCGGTCAGTTTATTCACTAAAACCCGGCGAGAAGGTCTAGCCGAGCGGTTTAAGCGATAGATCTTTACACTGTTATTTGAAGTCAGCGTGAGTTGCGCGCTGTTTTTGGGTGTATATCTAAACGACATTTGCTCCATTTGTGTTACTGGGATGCCAGATTAAGAAAAACGGTAAGGCCTGACTCAATGGTGGCGGCGTGTACAAGAAAATAATCAACACGACCAACATTACAGTGTTGCTTCTAATGTGACTGACATAATTACATCGAAATTATTCTGTTTAAAATAAGAATTTCGGAATCATTTCGAATGCAAAGCTAATAGTGAACGTGAAATTGGTTTTTACCGGTGTGATTTGACCACCAAGACACTTGGCGGAAGCATTTTATGTCTCCATTTAGTCCTATGGATAAAACTGCTGGGTAGCTTTCAAGTAGAACAGAAAATCGATGAGTTGATATCTAACACGTAAAGACACTATGTAGTGTAGCGACTCGTTAACATAAAGTCGGCATTTTATATTCTGCACGGTATACAGTGCTGTATGTACACAGCACATTGCCACTGAAATACCGAATTCTTGAGAAGCATCTGATTGTTCACGGGTAGTAGTTAATAGATAGATTCCATCATCATTTTTAGCACAACACTTCTAAGCGCTGAGTTCTGTCTGGATACACCAACACATTGTTTTGATGCAGCGCTGTATTAAAACTTATTTCCTCTTATATCTGTTCCCTATGGTTTGGTTGCAGTATCTCATAAGCTTTGAATGAAAATGGATGAGAGGTTTCACCAACTGTAAAAACGCACAATACAATATGACGTAGCATGACATTCCTAACAGTTGTTTCGTGGGCACCGATATTTTCGTAAGTGTATACGAAACTCAGAAAATGGCTTTAAACACTACATCGTCCAGCTAAACCACTGGCGTCGACTTGGCTGTGGTCAAGCCAATTTCGACAGGAATCATCCGCAAATAACAGTGAATTCCATATTCAACCGTTGCACGGGAGAACTCGACGCCGTACTGCGGATTACGGGGGTGTTTCGTCGGTGCTCCAAGCATGGTGGCAAAGAAACAGCAGATATAATTAGACATGATCCACGACACTACTGCGGTGCGACCGCCGCCACAACAACGTGCGGTGATTCATATGGCCTATGTGACAAGTGATCCAGTTTCACCAGACCATCGTAGATATAGGCCTTCGAGCAACGAGATATTTAGCAGTCCAGAAATGTGTGTCATTACGGATAAGAAAGGACAAGTGTTCAGTGTGTGTGTGGAGTAAAGTCCTTCTGAGATAATCGGACGCACAGTACAGTTTGAGTTGAAAGATCTAGTATTTGCTGAAACGAGAAAACCGGTTCCTGGTTCATCGGATTCTCGCTCTAGTTGTCCAAGCCGGCTACATCATCAAACCCAACAGGGCAGGTTATATACATGAGTTTATCATAACGCAATGGAGAAATCCAACCAGTTGACTAAATAAGATAATTGACTGTCATTGCATTTCTGAGCGTACTTGAGATTCACTCAAACGTCTTCGAAACAAACAAGGGAGAACGAAATGTCTTATTGTTTTTAGTAGTGTGACAATTATCTAGACTTCAAAGAATATGTTTCACACTCCAAGACTGTCATTTCAAACATCTTCCACTCCAGATAAGACGGGGGAAAATTAAACTTTCTAACAAGAGCCTCTGATTAAGTGTGGATGTGCCCACTCATCATGAGGAATCGGCCAACCTAGTTAAAATAGAGTCGATGAGTTAGCTGACCTAAAGAGTCAGCGCCACTTCCGTTGGAACATCTTCGAAGTAGGATGCTGCTTCCATACAGAAAACTAATCTCCGTTCACCTTACGTTTGAAATTAAAAAGACTCAGGCTACCATAAAATGGTCTGTTTTAATGGCGCATTTGCTCAGCCTAATAACAGAGTTTCAAACTGACGCAGTCACTGCTTCGTTGTTACTAAACGCCGAAAAGTAGATATATTTCTTCAGTTCACAGGCTAAGTTCAGACAGTTGAAAACCTGCTCGAAAAAGAACAAAGGTCACCGTGGGGAAATAAACCTCAGATGCTACTGTGTGGGATGTTGAAAGGAGATCATGTGAGCTGGGGGTAACAGATGAGATGGACTTGTTTCGAAAGCGAACCAATCAGCACCAACACACAATCACGACGCCATAGACCTGGATAAGTCTTGTGGAAGGCCAGTGGCATACAGTGTCCACAGGTGCATACAAGTCAAAATTGATAGATAAGTAAATTATGTTGGTGGATAAACGTGAGGAATTACCAAGACCCCTAAGAAAGTTCAAAATTATGGATAGTTGTCGGTGTTATGTACAGAGTGCTTGAAAGGTAGACGTGTTAGGTTTACTAGGATGTACTAAAACCACGAGCAAGATCAACCAGATTGAAAACCGCAGAAACTTGATAATATGGTCAAATACCTAACGAAATAGGAAGGCTATTGTCCGAGGATAGTGTTTTGTTCAAATAAGCCACGGAGAATTTCTCTAATAGTTATATCTAAGAGTCGGTTAAGTTAGGTTTTCTAGTGGGCAATTGAAGGTAATGAGAAAGCTGGATTGAAGCAGGTAGGTTAAAAAATCTGCGGTTTTTCCACTCAAAACGTTTTAGGACTTCCAGTCGAGTAAATTGAAGGACAAACAAGGAAAAGCGAAAACTGCTAATAACTGCTCTAGCCATACCCCAAAACGACTGACTTCCGGTCGGTACCCACCGTATTTGGACAGCATTTTTTGCAGTGAACTGGTCTTCTGAACTGCCGCCCAAACACGACTGTGTACTGTGTGTGACGTCATCATAGACACTTGCTGAGGAACAGGGAAGTACTCGTCAGTGTTTGTAGGGTCGCGTACTCTTTATTATCAGATGTGTAGGACTGCAGCACACTGAGTAGGATTGATTTGTTGGTCGCAAAAAATGAAAACCTATGCCAAAGGGATGTTTTTGTAAGGTCTACAGAAAAGTTTGGACGATCACCTGAGGCACAACAATCTACGGATTCGATCCATAGTTAAAATATGTAATCGTTTAATTATGTAGATACTAATACAGACTAGTCGCAAATTAGTGATAGATGGGACAATGCGACATCGGGTAGCTGATTTGGGCATCACATCCTATGTATAACAGTTCCACCCTACCCGAAAATCCTAGTTTTTTCTTTCTTTGAGTTATAATATCTTTGAAAATGAGTATGCAGCCTGTTTGTTGTCATTACTGGGCAGCCGTCATCCTTTAATATTATTTTATTATCTTGCAACCGATGATAAAATGACAATGGTTGGGCACAACCACTAACCCACCGCTACGCACAACTACGCTCCCCAATAACGCATCGATGATGTCCCCTCGATTAGTGGTGAAACGGTTTCAATCAAATTGCTCAGCTCAACGAACAAGCCAACGACCAAGCGGGCAACTGTCAAACAAGCAATGGCTTGTTTAAGATCAGTACAGCTTGGTGTATCTCGTTTTATGTAGCAGTAAATATTAAGTCATGCTCATACATCGAAATCTCTCTTTTATTCTTTTGAAACAGAGTATACTCTGTCTCTACCTGAGTGGATTTTGCTTGATTACCAAAATAGGTAGCTGGCACAAGAACTTAGACTGAAAAGCCACTTTTTGGTCTTTCTTAAAGGGATAATGCTTTGTCCACAATAAAAAAGATTAGATATTGCAAAATCCATCACTTTCTTTGCGTTGATTCATAGGGAAAGATTTTTTTATAAAAAACGCACTGGATTGTACTGATTAGCACTGTAACAACAAACCAATGCGACTTTGATAGAATTATTCATTGTGGTGCGCTGCTTTATTCAGAGATGCCCAAAATCAAAGAAAAATAAGGTAAATTTGTAACCATGACGTTGCGTGTCATCTGACATCGGAGTAACTGTGGTCGATATGAAATAAGGCTCAAATAATCAGGGTGACTTGAAGAAACGATACCGTCAAGCAGACGGATATCTGAACAGCAAAAATATCGGAGTGCTGGCTTTAGCAACTCATTAGTAGACGAGCTGTATTCACCGAAACGGAACAAATTCAAAGCTACGTTTTTTTCATTTGGTACTGGTAGCCAGGTTGTATAGAGCCAGTCATTATATGGTACACTGCTAAACCAGCATTTAGGTGAAAGTTGGTTTCGGTAAGGCAGCTTGGCTCTTTGTGCACTTCACTGTAAATCGAGCTCGGGTCAAAGTTGACCGACGGAAACATGTAGGTAGCGTGTAACTTTGGTTACATGATTGATGCAGAATGAGCTTATGACGGACTCAGTTTTTCTTGGATCTCTTTGTTCCGTCAAATAAAAATGTTTAACAGTAATGACGAACCAATTGTGATGATAAGATCTACGATATGCGCATTTCGCATAATTTGCTCTTCGTCAAAAGTCTTACCGTGTAGGTGATTTTTTCCGTCCACAACAAAACAAAACTGTTCAGCCGTGTGAGACTTTCCACTTGAATGTTTTTGGTGAAAAGTTGCTGCATCTAACGTCTTTTTATGATCCTTGGCTACTATTGACGGGCTATTGTTGCATGCTCGAAATTAAGCTTAAATATATCACAAGTGATGGATTCAATTGGGATTTGGTTGAGTCTTTCGTTGGCAATAGCCTTACTTGCAGATGAGTGTAGTTTGATACTAGTGTGCAGTGTGGTATTCGAACACAACAAAAAGTTAATGGAAATCTGATAAGCTGAAAGAAGTGTGAAATTAGTAGTGATCTGTTCAAGTGCTTTCAGCAGCCTTCGAATTAGAGTTGTCAAGAAAATATGTTTTTAAGTTTCGAATATAGTATAGGTTAAAATATGTGATAACTTTTTTGCAGCCTCCTTATTAGAAAAATATTACAAAAGGGACAACCGACTGAGATTCGTTAGAGTAGTCCGTTAGCACCTTAGTTTTGCGAACGAGTTTGCTTCGCGACCTTCCTGTTTCTTCATACCTGACCGAGCAGTGTCCCTAACAGTCAGATTCCCCACCCGGTGTAGATCACCTCTGAAATTGGTAGATTTCCTATTACATTGAGTCTGATAACAAATTTTCATATGGGAGGAAATATTTGCAAACGCAGTATAGAGCTTCCATATTATACCTGAGTCACTTAAGGCTTTAGGGTCTATCACATGACATTTACCAGTGCACCTAATCGTTGATCTGATTACTATTCATCTGCGTTATTTCCAACATAAAGCCTTCATAAAGATTACTTCTCTGCTTTTTCTGGGTGGTCAGCCGAAATGACAGTAATAACCCACCAGTAACTTAGTTCAAATTAAGGACTAATTATTCATTCCGGTAAAACTCTATAATTCTAACTTTTTGTCAGTAAATTTTGTTTGCATTGACCAGATTTGTCTTGTTATTGCAGTTTTCTGTTTCTTGTAGCACTAATTCAAAATAGTTGTTGAAATCAATAGCACGTTGTTTTCGTCCTCAGCGGCGTAGAGACGAAAACGGGGAAAATCTTTCTCAGAAACCAAGTCAACATGTTGCAATCAATGAAGAAGCCACCATGTGCTACGTTTATACCCATGAATCTTGCTTTACTGAAGAATGGTCCTCTGCTTGAGTCAGTGTGTATTAAATCAAAGCTCAAAGTATACTAAACTGGTTGACGAGTGAAATTTGTGTGATTCTACCCTGCTTGGAACAGTCGTTCCACTTCCGCTGTGTGTGGTTTGGTCCCCATTTATCAGTTCTTTGAATGTGGAGACCAATGTAAAACGCCGAGTGATGGTAAGAGGATTATATACTTATTGATTGGTTCTGCAACTTTCCAGTTTATAATGACGCCTTGTACACTGAAGAAGAATGTTTAACAGGTTTCCGAGTTCGACGTTTCACTAAGTAGTGAAAACTTTCTGACGAAATTAAAAGCGATTCTCCGTCTCATGGTAGACAACTTACCGTCCCAAGGTCTTCATTCATATGTTCTAGTAGACTAATGAAACTGAAGGCCTGACTTATTGGTTTTGTAGCCGGACCTCGAAAAGTTTTGCACCAAGTCGTTGGATCCTCTGGAACGATTTCGCCCAATGTAGCTGGTTGTACACAAACAAATGTGAGTAATCCAAAAGAGAAGAGTAACAAATCATGCTTCGTTGTTCTGTACCACGACATCTGTCTACCAGTATGGAAGAACAACACAGTATTGTACGACGAGATCAGTCGACCAATTTATGGAAAGTGAATAAGGTTTGTTTTGCCGTTTCCTCAATATATAGACTGTTGTGTAGTTCTTTTTACAAGTGTCCTATTCGTCCGTGGGTTATACATCTAATTACCGGAAGCAGTAATTATGTTTCAGAGGGTCATTTGGCCTTTCGGTTAGGACGAGCTTGACAGATTTGGTAAATCAGTTAAAATCTGGATCTATAAAACAATGTATTGAACACGAGACGCATCATAACGGTTACGGCCACCTATCCCGCCCATGCAATGCATACCACTCCACACAGCTGATAAAATGGTGAACGTTCAGTAGTATTTGTTCGTGGCAAAAGTCAATCTTCATTGAACCAAATCACTGCTCGTATGTTCTGACATATGCTGTCGATAAACGGTCGTATCGCAAAGCTGTTCCGCACAGTTCTGGACGAATAACTGATTTTCTGGATTTATTGCACTCTCCTTATTATAACAAGGATTCTGTCAGAAGGTAGACACCTAACCAAACGGTGATAATCAACGGCTAAATAACTAAATAATCATTCTTCTTTGGATAGGCTCAACGTCCATGCTGCACTTTGCCTGTCGAAGTTATTTATGCGTAAAAGTTGCCCAGTGTACATTACCGAAATTATTTTACCTGCATTCGACACTGTATTCATTTTACTTTCACGGTTTTATTCTACAAGAATATGCTGATAGTACAGTGCGCATCCCAAGCAATTTGCTCATTACACGGAAAAACCATATATCATGAACCACGGTATTCCGTATCGACGGATTGCCCTCGGGAGATTCCAAAACGCATCATGGACGGAATTGCTTTTTCGTGGCAGAGTGACATACAAAATACGAGCGAATGCGTCCTGCCTCTTTTGCATTCGAATTCTTTTCAATTTCCCATTTGTCATCGGGCCACTTTGTCATTTGAGTTCCGTTAAAATTTATCCAGAGAGAAGTGAATATGGACCAATAGACCTGCTAACTGATCTCAAAAATGTATTGAATCATACAACAAAAGTAAGATTATCGGTGGTGCCGAAGACACTGAGTTGTCATCTGTTGTCTTACTTCGTGCTTCAGTTAGGTTATACATACATTGTGTTTCATCTGTCGGACAGTTTGTCTGACAGAATATTGAAGCACAATTCAGCGTTTCTCGGTGACGGTTGGGAGAAACCGGAATCAAGTCCAACTGCATCTTCTCTGAATAAAACCATTCATGCCACCGGCAAAGAGAGCTCTTCCGATATCATCCGTCGGAACCAATTACAACTGGTATAGTCCATACTACTATCGATAGCAGAGGCGATTGTAATCCGACGGTATGACTCACAAATTTGGTTTTAAAAGCGAGTTGTGTGATCTCTTCGCCTGAGCTGGCCTACAAATGAAGGCGACCCCAAGATCTTGTCTAAGAGTGAGGTCACTCACATACCTACGTGACACGTTGACCATTGTACATCCCATTTTAACCCTTCTTCTTGTTCCTTCTTTAAGTAGTACGTACCTTTGACTTCCACACAACTATTGCATATGGTAGCATATAAAGTTGTGTTAGTTTTGTCAAGATGACCAACACCGGGGACGAGCTCTGTTCATTTCCATCGTTCTTCTCGTGCAAACTGCCTTCTTGAATACTATCACAGTACAAGTTACACAGGCTGATAGATCATGGTTTTGCTCCTTGGAGTTTCTTTCCAGCTTGATTAAAACGCGAGAAATCCACTTTTCTGCATCAAACGTGGTAATTAGATGCTCCTTGTTCCACAACCTACAATGGATGGCGTAATAAAATTTTCGCCTTTCAGCTCAACGGTTGAATTCTGAAACAGACAACTTATCGGTGAGTGTAACTACTGGTTGGAAATTTGTTGCAGATAAGATTGTTGGGAAATGAGAATACTGTGAAAACATTTGGGAGTACTCGTCAAATGAAATTATGGTAGATTTCCATATTAAGACCTGGAATCTTTCGTTGAAATTTTGGATGTCCAATTTGGAGGTAGAAAAACTTTTATTGGGCAACTAAACATTTCTTGGAAGAGTTGTTAGTTCGTTTTCGTGGCAAAAGCAAACCCAGCTGCTGTTAGATAGGAGTTGATAAGAACTTCCAAAATGTAACTAAACGCTTTCGGTTGTTTGGCCTTGTATCAAGTTGTCTGCACACTGGCAGGAGTTAGTGTTGTTTTAGATGATGCCAGCTTAGCCACTCAGTGCAAAATCATCTAGAGAAACTCTTAGAGTAAACCCGCTGTCGTAGGGGAATTGTCAAGACACCCGACATCACATTCCGCTTAAACCTGTCTTCAGAACCGAAAAGAGCACACTCACTGGTTACGCAAATTGCTGAGTCACTTCCCAAATGAAGAAACTGTGACGGAAATATCCTGGAAGTCAGAGCAAATTTCAATGGTAGAGAACAACTAGAAACTGTTTATGTTGAATTTGCAGCGGAAGAACTAGCTGGCTGCTGCGATAAACTCTTTTGGTCAGCCTAAGAGTGATTCTTTCAATAGCTTGGACCTGGATATGCGATTCGAATACGTAACTATCCGATGAAAAAGTTCACAGCACAAATTGAACGCCACATTTCATTTTGGCATCATTATTAATCTTTTTGTTGCCTTTTTTTATTTTACTTTCGGTGCCCGACAAGCATGCCTATCATTGGTCACCCAATTGACCTAGTGACTTTTTGACGCGTTTGGCTTCTGTCTCCTCCTAATTCATTCTTTTGTTTCATTGGAGATCCTGCACTTCTCATTAATCATATCCTTTGCATGCAACTTCTGGTTACATAGACTTTGACGCCTTACCCAAGATGGAAAATCACAGAGAGCTTTGTTATCTACCTTCATTCTTCAAATATTTTCCACGGGTATTTTCAATTGCTGAGACGTAGACTATCCGAAGGACTGAGAGCTATCAACGTTGACGCCTACTGAATGTATAGAGCATGGTCTTGAGTGCAAAATAAATTTCATCGATGGCATATTTCCGACGTAGAATCTGTTGCATTCGCTGCAGTTGGTTTGGTATGTCACATTGTTCATCTTGGATTTGTCTCGGTTGTCCTTCGGTCTGAAGGTTTAAAAACCAGAGAACGACCGAGACAAAACCAAGAGGAACAATGTGATATACCAAATCAACTGCAGCAACTGCAACCAATTCCACGTCAGACAAACTGGGAGGAAATTATGCACACGATTAATGGAACACAACGTGGCCGTCAGAAGACATGACACCATGTCCTTGATATTTATACACGAGGACCAAGAAGATCGCAAATTCTATCTGTAAAATGCAAAATTTTAGCATACGGAAAGACGAAACACGGAAGAGAATTTATGGAAGCATGGCAGTGCATGGCAGATTCGATTAACCGGTGCATCAAACTGGATCCAATTTACGCACCTTTACGTGAAAAAGACCAACATCTCAACCGGAACACTCAAGGAGGATCGAACATTGGATTCACAAGCAAAAAAAAACAAGAAACACCTTGGAGTCCAATCAATAAAGGTCACTAGCCGAGACTCGGAAGGGCAAAGGTGACTCTAGCATCGACCAGATTACGACGGCAGGGGATGCCAAGCTCAAAGATCACGTGGGCATCTGCGAATGAGGACAGAGGATAACGGAGCGACCAGTGGAACCGCCCGACCGAATAACTAATCGCGATCAAAGGTCATCCCTGCTAGCGGCAGGTATATTAACACACACGTAACACTACTCAACACACAACCACTAACCCACCGCTACGCACCACTGCGCTCCCCAATAACGCACTGATGATGCCACCTCGATTGGTAATGGAACGTTTGCAATCAAATTGCCCATCTCAGCGAACAAGCCAACGACCAGTGTTGAGTCTATTATTCCACAGTCATATCTAACTGCATTTTACTCCAGTAGTGTGATAGAGCCTACAGATGTTAATATCCATGGTATCGCTGGACATTCTGTACCTATAGTTGGTAGTTGTATGATTCCTGTGAGATTGCCCCAAGGTACCCCTGTTGGTTGTAATCTTTTAGTTTCAACCTCGGCACCATCGATTATCGGACTCAAAGTTTTGCGCCCATCGCGCACACGTAACAGCTCGCTAACTTCTGTAAATGTGAGCTCAAAAATGATTTCCCTTGGTGATTTCTGATACAAAATTCCATCTTGCGATTCATATTCAAACAGTTCGGTTGGTTTATTGATTCAGACATTACCAGTCAAGCGGGCAGCGCTTGCTGCTGATTCTAGAAGACATTTTCTCCCATTTTTTGCCTTGCTAGGTGCCTGGACACAGCAAGAGCTATGTCGATTTCCTGCATTACACTCTCGCCGAGAAAGATTGTCCATTATCCCGGATGGTTTGTTGTGCTTTGGGGATAGCGTTATCATTCCACCGACTCAGCAAGTGGCTGTTCTCGCAGATTTGCACTCTTGCCACCTGGGCGTTAATAAAATGAACTCTTTTGAACGCTTGTCATGTTGGTGGCCAAAACAAGATGCTGCCGTCAAGTATACTGCTAAAAATTGTGTTCAATGTACACATTAAATCCACAGCTAATATTCACAGTGGTATCCACGGTCAGTTACTTGTGGAACATTCCAAAGAGTTCATGCCGACCACTGCGGTCGTTTTCTCTTCTACTCCAAGTGCTGAATTCACACAGCAACCATTGAGGAAAGTATGCATCCATGAAAGTTTACTAACTGCTCTGGTCATTGACAGCGACATACGCTTCACTGAAAAATCCAAGATATCAACGTCTGCTTACTGCTTCATAACATCCCTAGTCGAATGGACCTGCTGAGAATTTTGTGCAACAACTGAAATCTGCCATTACTCCATTCTCGCCCACTTTTTTCGTGGATTCAGACCGCGGAATTTGTAACTTTCTATTGCAGTATGTAGCGTCTGTAATTTGTTGTCACATTTACCATTCTTCCTGAACTTAAACCACACTTTGTAACTGTCGTACATATTGTACCATGACGTTTGTTT